CATAACTACTGTTACAGGGGTTTAGATGTCATAATCGAGGTCAGGGACAACATTCTGTGATAATCCAGAGTATGGGAGTGTGAGGGACACGCTATGAGTTGATGGCTCTTTGTAACCAGTATTAATCATAGTATGTTTTTTTTTTTTTTATGACCCAGGAATGCAACCAACGTTCTCATTTTATTTTTCTTGGTATTCTTAGCACAGGGCTTGGCATATAGTAGGTGGTTATTAAATACTTGATAACTAAATGAGTGATGCTTTTTCTTATGAGAGAAAATAAATGTTTTTAGAAGAGTCAGCTTTATACCATGGTTTCAGGGAATGAATTGTGATGAAAAGTGAAGACTGCTTTTGCTTGAAAGAGGCTGACATATTTCCCAGACCCGGGATCACTTTCTGTGGTGTATGATTTAAGGGTGAGCGAGCATGCCAAAGCACTCCACTTGAGTTGAGTGATGGGGAATGAGTTGTGGAGCTGTGGTCTTAGATGGTATTTTGTGAAAAATAGTGGGAGATTTATGGCTATTAAACAACTTTGTAGCTGCCCCCTTCTTGTTTCGAAGTCTGCCAAATCTCTCCTCCTGTGGTCTGTATCAAGTTCTTTCAGAGCGTCCATGACATTTAGAAATATCCACCGGACTGCAGTTTTTCATTGAATGCACCCATTGGAAAGGGGCTTGAATTTTACGCATTTATCAGTTCCGGTAATCACTGAGTGAAATTCTCGCTTTGCAAGTCTGTTGTAGAATACACTGTACGTGCATTGAATCTTCTCCAAGCAGGTTGCCAAAGTTCTACCTTCCTTCTTTCCGTTATGGATATTGCAGAGTGCAGTATATTAGTGGCTATTTCCTTTATTGATGTGAGTTTTAAAAATTATTGGTAACTCTTTGATTGTAAGCAGGAGAAGAATCAAGTAACCTTCAGAATGCTTTAATGTATATTCAGCAGAAGGACTTACAAGGCCAGAATGAGTGTTTCAAGCCTTGCGGGGAAGGGGATACATATTTACCATCATCTGCTTTTTTCTATTCTAGAACTCACTCTCAGTAGCTCTAGAAGAAACAGAAATGGGATATTTCATCACAAAAAGCCAATCAGAGATGACATTTATCCATGTTGTACAAGTACTAGAGAACTGTTACAGGAATTTTTCTCTCATTATGGGTTCATGTCAATATAGGAGTGCATGGATTAGAAAAGAAATAGGGCCTTTTGGTGTTTTTTAAAAAATTTCAGGCTTAAGTCTGAGAAATTTCCAAAATGTAGAAAAGTTTTAAAAATAATGAACACATGTAGGGATCATCCAGAATTTGTGGTTTCTAATACTTTGACATTTTTTTAAAGTCTTCTTTAAATGAAAGAAAGAACATCATATATACAGCTGAAGTTCCCCTCTCTCCACATCCCACTAGCCCCAGTCCTACTACACTGCCCCTTGGCAGAAGCAATCTTTTTCATGAATTTAGTGTATATTTTTTATAATTTTTAGATGTTTCCATACATACATGAAATCAACAAACTTTATGTTTCCATAAATATTATATTACATTTATCATCTTGCAACTTGAATTTTCACTCTGTATTACATTTTTAGACCTATTCTAAGTGAGATATAGAAATCAAGTTTGTTTCTCTTAAATACTAAATATTATTTGGTCTTATTGATATACAACATTATATTTATTTATTTTCCTCATCGACAGACATTTGAGTTAATTCCAGTTTCTTCTGTTATAAATAATGCTGCAATAAACATTGTTTTATGTCTCAATTTGCAGAACCATGTGAGATTTTCTGTAGAGTATATATTTTAAGTGAAATTGCTGCACCAATTTTCAATTTTATTAGATATTGCTAAGTTACTCTTCAAAGCAGTCGAACCAATGTACATTCCCACTAGCAAGGAATGAGAGGATAACAGTTTCTTTTTCCTTTGTTCTCACTAGTACTTGCTATTGTGAGACTTAAAAGTTTGTCAATATGATGAGTGGAAAAATCATATCTTGTTTTAATTTGCATTGCCCTTAGTCCTAGTAAATTTCAGCAACTTCACTTATGTTCATTGACTGTTCAGGTTTTCTCATCTTTGAATTTCCAGACATTTCCTTTGTCTATTTTTCTATAATATTTTCTATTGATTTAAAAACATTCTTTTTTTATTTGGATATTAATTATTTATTGTAGATATTGCAAATATTTCCTGACAGGAGAATTTAAAAAGTAAAATGTAAAACTATAATTCCTTGCCATAGGCATTTACAAAATATGGCAAGAGCTGGGTGTGGTGGCTCACGCCTGTAATCCCAGCACTTTTGGAGGCTGAGGCAGGTGGATCACCTGAGGCCAGGAGTTGAACACCAGCCTGGGCAACATGGTAAAACCCTGTCTCTACTAAAAATGCAAAAATTAGCTGGATGTGGTGGCACGTGCCTGTAATCCCAGCTACTCAGGAGGCTGAGGCATGAGAATTGCTTGAACCGGAGAGGCAGAGGTTGCAGTGAGTTGAGATTGTGCCTCTGCACTCCAACCTGGGCAACAGAGTGAGATTCTGTCTCAATAACAACAACAAATTTGATAAGGATTCAAATATTTGAGAGTCTTTATAATCTTCAAGATTCAGATTTACTCAGATTTGCTTATTCTCATTTTAGGCATATCTTCTTAATCCAGGCAAAAGAAAACATTATTTAAATTTTACATTACTGCATACTCAGTATACAATGGGTATACTGCCTCAGTTTCAAGGCGAGTTCTTTATTCTTTGGCAGATACTGTATAAATTTAAGACATTTTCTTGCCCACTTCTTTCATATGATAATTGTGTCTTTCTGAATTATGCTTCTAATCCTAAGGTTCAGTGAACATCACTATTGAAAGGATCACATGGGCTTCATTTTGAAAAAAGCCAAGTCAAAGAGCTGATAGTTGGAACATTGATTTGTAGTTGTTTTCCTAAACATCCAGCCATAGAAGTCCCACCAAAAGGCATAGTTTGCAAAATCATTCTTTCCTGGATTATTTTCCATGATGTGAGTTTATCAATGGACACTGAGCAGAAAAGTAATTAAGTGCTGGTCATAGAATGATGACTGCAAAACAACAGAAGCCACACCATTTTTTGCTCTACCTAAAATACGAAACAAAACTAAATATCTCTTTTACGCTTGGTTACAGAATTCTAATGTGTAGCACAGTCAGAGGTGTTTCCGGAAAGGTGGCATTTGTTCCAGTAATTGTAGAAAAAAGCTGTCATCAAATTGTCAACAGCCCAAATCGAGATTAAAAGTTCTAAGAAATATCACAACACAACAAACTAAAACTCATATTGGATTTTTGGGTCTTTTTTTTAAAGTGATGAGATGGAGCAGAAATATTGACAGCTATGGCTTCCTATGGAGGAAGTATGATAGATCTAGGGAGGATGACCCCTGTACCCTCACCCCATATATCCTGCCTCAAGCATTAAATAGATGTCAAATTTAGGACACTATCATCATGTTTCATTCATGTAGAAATTACAGGAGACCTTGAATACCCAATAGAGAGATACTTGGTGACTGTAGTATTTGATTTTTAATCTAATTTTGGGCTCCACATTCTTGTAGTGTGCTAAAAAGTAGAAAAGTCTTTCCTACTTTAAAACATGTTTTTCTTGATGACTAAGCCTTTATTTCTGTGGACCCAATAGTCTTGGATCCAACTTGAAACACCATATATTTGCCTTGGAGCTGGAGTGAAGAAGTGCTACCTGAAAACTGTTTTCTACCTAGGGACAGGGCTTCTGATTTTGCTGCACTCTCTTCCTGTAAGTCTCCACTGAAAGCCGCTTAGTCAAACGTCTCAAATGTCAGAAATGAAATTTAAAGGGTTTTTCTAGCAAGTAGGTCTAATCTCCTACTTAGTTTTGATTCCTATAATATAGGTAATCTCTTTGGAGAAAAGGCCTGCTTTTAGGAGGGCAAATATATCCCATAGAATGTATTTCCTACTCCGGAAAGAAAAATGTAGCATTAATGAAATTTACTTTTTCACGAAGCTTGGAAAGATTGTAAGCTTCAGATTTTGATCCTAGCAGATGTTCTTTTTGGGATATTAAAAAAAAAAAAGCTGCATTTGATTTAGGAATCTCAGTTAAGAGTTACAGTGGTAATAATGCTTCTTGCTACTAGCAACCACACTGTGAGTGTGGCACACTGGCCATTGGTTCTGAGTGATAGCTGACCCCAAGCTGAAGTACTTTCTTTTGGCTTTAGCTCACAAGGATGTTGGGTTCTGAAAAGAGAGCCTTAGCAGCTTGGGCCATCTCGGACACCGTTCTATGGTTAAAGAGTTGTCTGCATGCAGTGAAAAAGCATCATCCTAGATGTATCTTATGTTATTTTCTTTTAGGCCTTGGAGTGACACATTTGTTGATAAGCACTACATCCCAAATCCAAATTTCAGACGTATTTCTCATCGCTGTTGTTAAACTGAGCCGGAATCCCCAGTGCACAACACAAGACAATTTATATCCTTTCCTATGGTGACTTCATTCTGCTGAGTCTTTCATGCCACTGGGCTCATGGAAGTCAGCCCTGGTTTTCCCCATTTATCCCTAGGGGCAGAACTTAACCTCTTCACTAGTATCCAAAGAAATCTGCCTATAGCCAGCCTTTACTTTGTGGGAATTACTGGATGAAGGCTTGATGGAAATCTAAGCCTTTAACTTTTCCTGTCTTCTGCCTCTCTCTTTCTCCTCCTCCCTCTCCTTTCATTTCAGCACATAAACTGCCCCCTTTTCTTAGAGCTATTCCATATGTACCGAGGCCCCTCAAAGCTTTGGATCTTACCCAACACTTACCAGAATATTATCTCAACAAAAACAACTCTTGCTTCCTAAGAAATATCTTGGTGGATAATTTTCTCCAAGCTTAGATCCCAAGGAGATGAGTCTAGGTAAATGAGGAGTTTGGTATTTGGTGTTGCTTCATGTTGACTTTGTTTATGTCACACAGGCTTCCAGTGAGGACGTTGCCGGCTCTCCGGAGCTCCACTACACGCCCTTGCCTTCTGCTTCCAGGGAACTCACCAGTCACCAAGGTTGGAACTCAGCTTTTTATTGCTCTCAGTGGGTGCAGGGAGGGACACTTGGCTGTGCAGAGCTCTGGCTCATTACTGTTGCCTCGGCACTTTAGAAAGAACACAGTGCTTTTTAAGTCCTTGATGAGAAAACCATACCTGTCACACGTAGTGATTTTAACCTGTATTAAACAGAATTTAGTGGCAGTCTACTCAGGAGGCAAATAAATCTACGGTATAATATAATTTTGTGATTTTTTTTCTTTAAATAAAGAGATTAGAGTACTTAAAAATTATCAAGGAGATGTTAACTCCAGTATTAGTGATGGAGAGAATTTGGGAAACTCACTAACATTTATAAAAGTGTCATTGTTTGAGAATATAACAACATCTGTAATTTCAAAATGAATGAACTCTACGTTATAACTAAAAGGAATTCCAATTTGCCTGGCAACATTGAGAGAAGCCATGTGCAGTTTTTGCTGAATTCCCTTATTCTCAAAACGTTAATTTGGTTTACTCAGTTTTACCAAAGCCTTGCATGTCTGTTGCCATCTCTAGAGTCTTCAACTTCAAAAGCAGACAGAACACTGACATGAAATATTTGAAAATGTCTTATCCCTAAGCTGGCTGTTTTAAATATTGTTTCCCCAAGAAGGAAATTCCACTTGTACATGTAAAGAGGAACGTGAACAGGGACTATTCCGGCATTGTCATCCCAGCAGCATTGCAGGATGAGCAGGTGGAAGAACAGGCTGTGTAGATGCTCAGAAAGTAGTGAACCTGACCCTCCGAGTCACCATCTGGGCTCTGGGCAAATGGGATACTTGTATTCTGCAGGAAATGAAGAAGAGAGTAGTGCAGGATTTCCAGTGTCTGTGGCTTGGACCTGTGTTGCCTTTTTGGTGTCTGGGCATCAATAGAACTTTTCTATATTTAAATATACTTTAGTTAATTTTGTGAAAAATCAATTTTGCTCCAAGTTGGGGGAATAAGCTGCTGCCGACCTGCTGTGTTTTGAGGGGTCTGAACAGGTCTCTTTCGCTGAATATTCTTTTGGAAGTCTTAAGCATACATCCCTTTTGAGACTGTTTTTGGGGGAATTTCCCTAAAATGACACCACATCTAGATGGAGCAACAAATTAACTCTTAAATTAGCCTCATATCCTCATGTGTTTATTTATTGGTTTCTTGTATTTGAATAAGGGTATTTTTACTTTAGAGTCTATTGAATAAGTTGCATAGAAACCGAAGTCTCAGAAACCTCCCAGCCACTTCTAAAGTTTATCTGGCCATGAAATTGAGATTTCACAATGGGGAGAGATGATCAGATAGATGATAATCATTAGGAATAGGGCAAATATCATCTGTCATTTTTAACAGTAATATAAAGAATCTGAGACTTGAAGGAAGGAAATATAACACAATATAGTTTTAAGATATTTGGAATAATATTTGGAATATGGAAAAATGCCTAAAGTTGTTAGAGTTCAAATAAGTGCTCTTGGATGACATTAGGGCCTAACATCAATGAGAGAAATGTAAAGACATTTTTTAAAGGGAGCCAACACAGACATCTCAATTTTACTGAAGAAAATCCCTACACATTTAACACATTGGTTTCCTGATCAGTGCTGATTTGGTTGTTGATAAAAGCAAGTCCGCACCACCAAATGATCTTTGGGCTGATGGCCATAAGGAGACCAATAAAGAGAAGACCAAGGAAGTTCATTAAAGCTAGATTATTGAACTGATCTGTGCAGGAGAAAGGTGAGACTAATATATTTCAGCTTGGCATAAACCAATTTGGCTTGAACCAACTTGGCTTTTCCCAAATGAGAAAGTCATTATTTTTTGGCACTAAAATGAAACCACTTAATACTATCTCGTTTTTTTTAATATTTAAGAGAATTATTTCAAGTTTCTGATCATGTAAATCACGAAACTATTTGAATGTCATTTGTTAATACCTTCATGCAAACAGCTTACAAACATTTATGCAGAAGGGGGCCTTTCATGGTGTGAGGACAAATTACATCAATTCTTTCTCAAGTGAAATTCTCCATGATGTCTGAAACTTTTGTCTATACAGTCCTCACTGGAAGTTCTATTTGCAAATAATTTTTTATTCATCCAGTTCCCAATCTCTTTTCCTTCCGCACCAACAACTACAGAAGCTGGCGGGCAGTAGTTCATGTGCAAATTGCTATTTTTCTGTACATGCCATTTTCCCTTTACTTGTCCTTTTATGTAACTTCCAATGTCGAGTATGATAGGCCCAAGATTCATGTCCTAAAAACTGTAGATTCAAATGCAAAGGAAGTCCGGGCTTAGAATAATGATCAGGAGACCTGGGACTCAATTCTTCCATCTGCTACTTGTAGATAATCCATACATCACAGGGATAGTAACATGTCGTACTTTGCTTCCTACATGAAACTTTTACTGATCTGAGTTATGTTGATTTTCTTCTTTCTATAGGTACATCTGATATTTGTTTCTATCTTCCAGGTGCAATTGTTCATATTCTGCTTTGTATGATAAAGGTCAGGTTCTGTGTGTCTTAAACTCCTTATAAATGAAAACTTCCTGAGAGGTAGCAGTAAGTCCAAATCATCTTTCTTTTTTTTTTTTTTTTTTGAGATGGAGCCTCACCCTGTCACCCAGGCTGGAGTGCAATGGCACAGCCTTAGCTCACTACAACCTGCCTCCCGGGTTCAAGTGATTCTCCTGCCTGAGCTTCCTGAGTAGCTGGGATTACAGGCACGCACTACCACACCTGGCTAATTTTTTGTATCTTTAGTAGAGACAGGGTTTCACCGTGTTGACCAGGGTGGTCTCAAACTCCTGACCTCATGATTCACCTGTCTCGGGCCCCCAAAGTGCTGGGACTACAGGCATGAGCCACCGCGCCCAGCCTCATCTTCTCTTTGATATCACTGACACTGCCCATTCTTCAGGTATCAGCTTACATATCACAGCTCCAAAAGAAACTCCCCTGATCCCCCCTACACACTTATATTAGGCCAGTGTTCCCTGTTCAGGGACTATCTTCCTAGATAGGCCATAAGCTGTTGGAAAGAGTGGTTGTGATTACGTATGTTCACCAGTTTATCTGCAATGCCTGGCACAGGGCCTCCTACCTAAATGGAGTTCCATATATATTTGTTCAGTAAAGACTGAGTAATAGAAACCCAGGGGAAGCGTGAGTATCTTAGTCACCTCTGCAAGGTAACTTGATTGCATGTGAGAAAGGAGACCCTGCCTCCTTTGGGGGTGAACACACTAAAGGGAAAGGTCTAGCTGTGTGGACCTCAGACTTCAATTCTGTTGCTTTCATAAACCCAAACCATCAGGGATGGGTGTCATATGTGTTGATTCATTACCAGAGAGCATTTAGTCGCAAAGCCTAACTTCTAAATAGTTGATTATTTCAATGTTGTAGTTTTCAAGCATTGGTAGTTTGATGGTAGGGAAGGGAATAGAATGAATTGAAGTAACTGATGGAATTATGTTACTAGAACAGAAAGTCTCAAGGAAGGGGTCAGACTCTCAGTAAGGTAAAGATTGTGGTACACACATGGATTTAGAATGGTCCACCTGAATTCTCTCTGAGAATGCTGCCCTGGGTTGGAGCATATCTTTGGAATGAGGAGGACACGGGGATGTGTCAGTAATCTCAGTTGTTCCCTAGTGACAATCTACATATTGTGCCCTTGGCTGTGTCCATGTTAGGAGGAGTGCTAAAATATCTGTTGGAGAAATGTCCCTTTAAATATGTTATGAGTACAGGACATGCCCTAGCATGCCAGGTATTGCCGTTCTTTACCTAGTAGCTCTTAGAAGTAGAATTCACATTTGTACAGGGCATTGTATCTTTTGGGGAAAACATTTCTATTTAGAATGTAAACTATATCATCCTCAAGAAAACCCTATAAAGTGGGGAGGGCAAATATTATTCCCATTTAACAGAGGGAGACATCAAGAATTGCTGGGGATGATGGAGCAACTCAACAACAGGCAAGGGAAACAAAATCAAACCCTGTGCCCTTAATTCTCAGGTCACCCCTGACTTTTGTCCTTTACCCAGTGCATATGAAGCAAGTGTAGGTAGGACTAACTGTGGCCTTGAGCTGGAAGGAAGAGGAGAAAAAGTACAGGTAGAGGCATGGCCTGGAAATGTTCACCACTGCCATGCATTTCCAAAGCCTGTGCTAAGGCTGCGAGGAGATACTTGCCTGCCTCTGTCAAAGAATTGCATTACTCCTGCTCCACCATTCTTTATTTTTAAATTACAGAACAATAAAATCAGGAGTGGAGAAGGTTTGAAAACAAAAAGGGACAATGCTCCATGTCAGTCTGGATGGGGAAAATAAAAGGCACTCTATGTATTCCAGTAATGAAGAGTTTTAATGGAAGGAATTAGAGGTGCTGCCACCACCCAGTCTCAACCTCAGCACTGAACCAGTGATTCTCAGCAGCTTGCTGGAAAGTTTCTGTGGATCACAGGAACACCTAGGCATCTCTCACTGACTTTCTTTATCTGAAGCACCTGTGCGGGGATTCTCACATTCACCTGGAGACTGTTTCAGTCATTGCCATTATCCATACGTTGCTCTGCTCCTCCTTTTCTCTAGATTTCCAGATCATACTCCAGCATCTCTCTTAGGCCAACTCTCACCTAGGTTGATTCGCTGAAGGTGATTCTGAGATACACAGTTTTCAGTTCTCCCTTGAAGCTACAGAGAAAACCTTAGAAGAAAGCGGACGGTGGTAATGCTAAAACAGAGAATCCAGCACATCTACCATAACCCCGCCTTGCCAATAGCTATCACGTGGAGGATCTCATTTCAACTTGTCTGCATACACGTTTTGCAAGATAATTGCAAGCCTAGTGAATGCCCCCGAATTATTTATTTCCTGATGCTTATACTATAGTCTTGAAGATATGCCATAGTTAGCTTGCCATATTAAACATTGGACTTGAAATGTATAAAAGAAAGAAAGCAAAAAAAAGAAAA